CCATCACATCTTCTCACCGCCTTTATTGTCGCCGCCTTCATTTTCGCGTCCATCACATCTTCTCGCCACCATCGCTGCTCGATCGYCGTGTATGGCGAGCGCCGCCATCTAATCTTCTCGCCTCCTGCGACATTACCCGCCATCAACCGTGTTCTATGTGCGCCGCCATCTAATCTTGTCGCTTCCTGGTATTTCTGGCTGTATAACCACTGACAAGTTGCGACAACCTTCTCTATTGCGCACCGCCATTAAATCTTCTCGCCACCATCAAGCACCACTCGTCGTGTGGTCCTGCGCACCGCCTGAAGATCTGCTAGCCGCCATCTCCAAGGTCGATGGATCGACGTTCTTCTTACGCGTCTTCCATTCCATCGTGCACACAGGAAACATAATGTTTTCTCGCGCCGTTTCATGTGGGAGAGGTGTTGGGAAACAAGTAACGGAAGGTGAGCTTTTACCGAAGAAAGGTCGACACGATCCCGCGAAGAGAAGGAGGGGCGTCCAAGGTGGGAAAGGCGTAGTCGGGCGAGAGGTCGAGTCAGATTGGGTGGATGAAGAGGAGAGACAGGAGGAGGACACTGACTTCGAAGAAGAAGAGGAACATACTCTTAAGAGGAAAGTGAAGCAGAGAACGGGGGGCGCTATACGGATCGAAGTGGGGGGGGGTGACACAGCAGAGGTGGCTCATGATCAGCCGCAGACGCCCTCGAATAAGCAAAACCAACAGCCTGTTGGCGTGGCTAGCAGTTCCCAGGCCGTGATCGACATGTCTGCGAAGCGATCCCCTGTGCCGCAGCCGCGCGGGGAGGCAGTTCAGGTAGTGCATGAAGTGGCGGATGGTGCGAAGGCGGGCGATGGCTCGACGCTCGGCGAAGACGTCGAAGCCCTAGTGAACAAGCTGCGCGGGCAACGTGCGGAGGCGAAAGCGATGGAGGTTGCCGCGAGGCTATGGACCGATGACATTCGCTTCTGAATTCATACGCGGGGACACGAAATCATCCAGATCATACACGAAGCGCGAGTTTACCTCGTTGAGGTAGCGACGGGAGTGCAGCCATCACCGATCCGAAGGAGCATCAACCTCCCCCATAGTTCAATCCCCCAGAAGAAGATCGAAGACGGGTCGGAGTTGAGGGCGGCAAAGGAAAGGGCGTTAAAGGTGGAGACAATTGCAAAGCGGGCGATCCACGGCTGGATTTTCAAGTCCGATAGCAGACACAAGGGGTATCACTTGGCATACCAGTACGCCTTGAACCACGCGGCGAATGACATCGCCAGAGCGATGTAGGCATCGGAGGACTGATGTTTGTTAGTCAGCCCGATGGTGATTCGTAACACGTTGGAGTTGGGTACGAAGCTCCCTTCGTGGTTCGTCGGAGCGAACGTGGTGGACAGGCACCAAGACGACGAGTGCGCGGCTTACCAAGAGGCCATCGCTCAACGTTTGGTGCACGATTTCAACAATGTGGTGGATACGGCGCAGGTGATGGACTCCGGGCGTGTTTCTTACGAGCGGCTGAAGTCCCTGGCGGAGGCGCTGAGATATTTGCTGGCGGCGACGGCGTGGATAATGAGGATGGCTAGGGACTACTCAAGATCGCACTACGACTCTTGGGTTTTCGTGCAGTTGACGACAAAGACCACCCTTCTTGCTTCCATGGATCGCCATTTTGACCCGCACTGTCATGTCTTGCAAGCCGCAACTGTCATGATGGACAAACTGGGAAGACCGTCTCCGACCTTCGGTCCTTCGCTCCCCCCCCACTGTACATCCCCGACTGGGCGTCCAAGTGCGGCGTCACGTTCAATCACGATGCGACTTTGTCCTCCCAGATGGAAGTGACGAAGATGGAGTGGATCGTCACAGGCCCCCCTGAGGAGGAAGACGACGACGAAGAAGATGTTGATGGCGTCGAGGGTGGGTGATAGTGGGAGTCGACGTCGATGGACTGCCGGCGAGGGTGGGTGATAGTGGGAGTCGAAGTCGATCGTTGGCGGCTGGGTTTTTGTGTCTTCTACACCCACACCACCGACGATCCTTAGGTTGGAAGTGCACATACTTTGCATCGTTTGGTGTCTACTCATTAGGTTTTGCAGCGGACGACACGTGTTTTGTCTTCTTCGAAGCAGGGTACACGGTGGTTACGTTCATTTCGAATTCAACGCCGTGTATTTCATTTTGTAATCATCCTTCACATTCCCTTTTCTCTGAGTTGTCGACCTGCATTCGTTGTAGAATTTGACGAAGCAGAGGCTTCGGTTCTCTTCTCTGATTCGTCAACCATGATTTTTACACGCTCATTATTATTTTAACGCGCCGTCAAACGGTGTTCTTCATTTATATTGAAATAATGGGGCTCATGTATTGTGTGGGCGATGGGACATGTGTCTTTCTTTTGGGGATGTGTTCACTTGATGGGGATCACTACATAATGAACGGCAAGAAGTACTCATGTTAACCCGATTTCGACGACCATCACTTGCGCCTTCAACAAACAATCATTGCGTGCATTATTCCATGAAAAGATGGATTGTCCGTGTGTTTGATGTGATGACGAATGAAGTTTGTATATTGTTTTTTAATCTCCATGAAATGATGTGTTCATTAATGAAGGTGACACCATGCATTCGAAGGAGTTTCTGTACAAAGGTTTACACGACTTCACGACAACATAAATGTCAAAAACAAAAAAAAATTAACGAATAGTCTAGCATTCGCATATTATGAACGCACACACACACACACACACACACACACACACACCCACACACACACACACACACACACACACACACACACACATGGACACACACACGCTGGCCTAAGCGCAAAAACGTGAGACAAGCTTATAACAACTTAGTGAACGAAAAGATATTGCAAAATGATGACTGCATTTGACATCAAGAGACCACTCAACGAAAGAAGATCATCAAATAAAGGGGAAGCCTTCGAAGGACTTCAATAACAAAAGTTCAAATGAAAAGCAGATTGCAGCTCAAACGCCATCCATTCCACCCCCCCCACCCCTCACGGGCCCCAACTGCCTAGCCCACGACTTCACGTCATTCAACCTACCACCTACTTAAGTCTTCTACACTACTTTGCAGAACACCATCAACGACTTCCGCACGGCGATGATCACTACGAAAACAAATCACAGTAACTTCGCCAAAGGTTTGTGCAACCACTTACACGCTGGTAAAACAACATAGGTCCATAAATGAGGACAGTGTTAAAATCATATACCAAAAACGACACTGATGACCAACCATCCACAACACGACTGGGATACGCGAACAGGAAGACGACAACCCGGCGGATGAGTGCTTCGAACACCACCGGGGAAGAAAGCACGTTGTGCTTGACGATGACCAAACAAACTTCCGGACGGCAACAAACTGGGAGGGCCTCATTATCGTCTTCGCAAAGCACCTCCAATGGGCACGGGAAGGCATACCTCCCCATCGTTCCTTGCGCATCATCTCTTCGGTGCCTCCCCGCTTGAGTCTGCTCCGATATCTCGCCGCATTTCGACTCTCCACTTCCACAACCACCCATCCTCACTGCGCACCCATCCTCTCCGCCAACGCATCCCTCAGAATCAGCGCGTCACCGGTTGAGTCGGGTTGACGACTCCATGCAAACAAGACGCAGCGGCGCATGCATACCGAGATCCACCCTGCGTTGGACGCCATCCGGTCCGACCTCCCACAAAAGATTGTCGTCGAAGGGAATGCCTGCGTCGATCAGTATGTTGTGGAGGATGCACACAACGATGAACTGTTGTGGCAACGTGTCCATGTTGCACTTGTGCGTGCGCAGGAACAACCTCCACATGCCCTTCAATCTTCCAAACGCCCTCTCCACCGCTCCCCTCGCCGTTTTCTGCTTGTTGTCGAATCGTGCCTCCGTGGGGTGCTGCGCGAGACCTCCATAAGGGACGACAATCCATTCCGATTGGGGATAGCCGTTGTCGTCGAGCAAGTATCCATTCGTTCGGACAGCGAATGGCAGCATGACATGCGGGTCAGTRAAAAGTTGTCCAGACTCCGCGCGCTCCCACAAACTGGACAGATGTAACATCCTCATGTCATGCACGCTGCCAGGGTAACCCACGAAGACGTCCAGTACACGCAAATTCATGTCGACCACAACCTGCGCCTGCACAGAGAATCGCCTCTTCCGATCACAGTAGTCCTCCCCGTTTGCGTTGGTCGATTTGTCGACGTGGATGTGGGTGCAGTCGATGCACCCATGGCAATTTGGAAAGCCCTTGTCTGCGAACGCGCGCAACATGACCGCCTTCTGCAAGCCAGTGGGCCACGAAATCTTGTCTGGGTACGCAGCAAGCAAGGCAGCGGTAACGTCTCGCACCGCCGTGATGCCAGAAACCCTCCCGATGCCGAAGCTGCACGTTCCGCTGTCGTATGTCTCACCCAACGCCCACCTATAGAGAGCGTACGCCACGATGTGGTCGGGCTGCAAAGGCACCCTAACAACCATTTCGTCAAAATGGACATTTTTTATTTTTTGAACGAAATTGAAACCGAGTTTTTTGGCCGAAAACTCGTCAAAATTTGATGTTCCTGAGGGTCCGGCGTTTGGAAAACGCTGGACCCCTGGCTGTACATGGACCTAGCTTGAGACCAGGTACCTCCAGGTAGTCCTACCTAGAGATGCCTGGTCTCAAACTAGGTCCATATACAGTCAGGGGGTCTAGCGTTTGTAAAACGCTGGACCCTTAGGAACATCAAATTTTGACGAGTTTTCGGCCAAAAAACTCGGTTTCAATTTCGTTCAAAAAATAAAAGATGTCCATTTTGACGAAATGGTCGTTCCATGTAAAACGTCACACGCCGTTGCAGGTATGGAGAAAGCATTTCGGCGATTTCGCGGAAGACACATGGCGACATTCGGAGCTTGTCTCTGAAGTACTCGTCGGTGGTGTCGTCGCATTGCCGCAGGTCCTCCCAGGTGCCTCCCGTCCGCCGCTTCATCCACCAACGTGGAGTCGCCCTCGGAAATGCGTCGCTCCCCATCGCGTAGCACACCTGGAGGACGGCATCGGAAACTGCACCCAAGTCCAAGCCTTCACCGCTGCTCGGCAGTGCCGTCACCTTCCGTCGCGCACGAACAACTGCTTTCATCTTCCCCGCGGTTCTCTCCACTTCACAACAATAGAGGATGACATTGACGGCCGCAGCAATAGTCGTCCTCTCATCTGTCGTCAATGCACCACCCCTGACTCCGCCGTCAATAACCATCCCTGATGCCTCTTCCATCCACGACAGCGAACCGACGACAACCGCCAAAACTCCGCACACACAGCCACGTGGAACGACGATATCCCGCGTCGCAAAAAAAATGTGGACGCCACCACTGCGGATGGCGACAAGCTACGACGATGGCGACCTTAAACGCCGACAACGTATGGTCGTACACGGGAAGGCATGCGCATACTCTACAGTCGAAGGCGCTCAACCTGACGACTCATATGGACATGCCCACGGCCGCACCCCCCCACGCCCTAATCCGCACGGCGGACGTCCGTCGCCCGCCTCCACTCGCACGCGCAAATTTCGAATTTTAAAATTTTGAATTCCTCCCTTGCGCGCCTTCTCGAAGGCCCTAATTTTTTTTCCTGAACGACGTCATTTCTTGCACGGCGGCCCAAAAAGCTGGACCACGCCAATCCAGATGGACACAATTGAAGACAGGCCGTGGTACACACATCCCGTGGCCTCTAATACGTATAGAAATCTGGCCGCGGAAGCCCCGAGGAATCGTCCTCGGGGGCCGACTCCGAGGATGAGTGGAACGAAGGCGTCGAAATCCCCCAACGACTCCGAGGAATCGTCCTCGGGGCCCGAGGAAGCCCCGAGGAGTGTCGAACGAGCCCCACAAACATGACCAGGTTCGCAGTGTAGTTGAAAGAGGCCAAAAGAAAAGAAAAAGAACTGAAAGAAAGAGGCCAAGGGAGGCCTTGCAACGGCGCCAGGACACCGAGGTGCCAACCACC